TTCCTTCCTTCCTTCCTTCCTTCCTTCCTTCCTTCCTTCCTTCCTTCTCCCTGCCCCCTTTCTCTCTCTTTTTTGGTCTTATTTAGAATTCCAGTCCTTGATGATAGCAATAGGGCTTGTCCACTGGATTCATAACCTGACTGTTCCCTGCTGTGGACCAGGGCTGCTCAGAGGCCCTAGACTTCAAGGGTTGCTCCCTGATGAGGACTGCAAGGAAAGCCAGAAATGAACGTCTTCAGCTCTCTTTGCTTCTGACTCAGCTCAGCTCTGCCCGAAGAAGGGGGAGCCGAAAGAAGTAGGGGGAAGGCTGGCCTCAATCCAAACCGCAGCCCGGAATCTAGACCAGCCTCACAGTGGTAGCTGAGGGCCACAGGGCCCTACAGGGCTGCCGCTTCCGATCTGCCCCTGCTTTCCAGACTCTTCTGGGATGATCATGCTTTTCCGTAGTGAGTGGCCACTCAGGTTGCTCCCCGACGGGGCTCAGGTTGTAATATTGGTCAGGATGTCCCCACACTCGCCCAGACATCTCAGCGTCACTCAAGGCTCTTAAAACTCGCTCAGTCCACCATTGCTCTCCTTCTGTAAGCCCGTCTGCTCTCTTGAGCAGAATCAATGCAGCATTCCGTCTTGGGTCAGGAGACAGAAGCAGAACCCAGTCACCCCAGAGGGTCCCCGAAGCACAGCACAGTGTTCTCTGTGACAGCTGGGGCACTGCCCAGGGCGTGGCCAGGCTACCCAGCTGGTCCTGCGTGCAAGCACCTGCAGGCTTCCTTCCTTGCTTCCTTCCTTAGTTCCTCCCTCAGCCCTTACCTGAGGGCAGGTAACAAAGCAGGAGGAGGGAGATGGATGGGCTGGGAGGGTGGAGGGCCACGTGGTGCCATAAAGCTCAGCCAGAGAGGGTCTGTCCAGAGGGTGTCCAGCCAGCAAGAGCCAACAATCAGTGGCCCAGCAGCCTTTTGGACCTGAAGCCGAAGCCGCAGGCCCAGGGCCCAGGCCATGTTCCGAGGCACGCCAGGACTAGGCCTCAGGGGCCTGAAGCGGGGTGAGGATTCCGTGGAGGACGTGGGGCGTTCTTGCCCCGAGGTTGGCAGGGATTTCGGAGCGCTAAGGCGCAGCCTGGACGAGGCAGAGGAGGTGGCCGGCAAGAAGCGCGAGCGGCCGGCGCGGTCCAAGGCGCGGCGCATGGCAGCCAACGTGCGGGAGCGCAAACGCATCGTGGACTACAACGAGGCGTTCAATGCGCTGCGCAGGGCGCTACAGCACGCCCCGGGCGGCAAGAGGCTCTCCAAGATCGCCACGCTGCGCAGGGCCATCCGCCGCATCGCCGCGCTCTCCCTGGCCCTGCGCGCCAGCCCCGCGCCCCGCTGGCCCTGCGGCCACCTGGAGTGCCACGGCCACGCCGCCCGGGGCGCGGAGGCCGGGGACCCGGACCCCAGCGGGCCGCCTGCTGCGGCGCCTGGCCTCGCGCGCAGGGACCTCGCCAGCCCCTCGGCGCCGCGCCGCGCTCCGTGCTCCCCGCTCGCGCCCTCGGGGCGGCCCAGGGTGGTGGCCGAGGTGCCCGGCTTGACCCAAGGCTCCGGGGGAAGCTGGCGCCGATGTCCCGGGGCGCCCCACGTTGGACCCATTCCGTGGCGGTGGGGCTCCGCGCTGGGCTACCAACACTCCTGACCCGGCCCGCGGGATCGGAAGCCTGAGTGACTACAAAGGAGAAGACCGCAAAACCATCCCCAACAGGGCAGAACGGAGTGGCCTGCGACCCGAGTGGCGGGGGACCGCCTTCCCAGCGGGGAGGGCGCCTCTGCTTTCCTGTGCCCGGGAGGCCTCTTCCCTTGCTGCCTTTGGACTGTGGGACTTGCGGGGTCATGTGGGTAGGCAGCTGCTGGGGGCAGAGGGTACACGCTGGGCTGGGGGCAGAGGGTACATGCTGTGGCCCCCGTCCCCTGACTGAGCTGCTGCCGAGCTGAGAGAGGCCCGGAAAACGAGCAAATAAAAAAGAAGAAGCGTCTTTTCTGTCTGCCGCCGGGAAAGGCTGCCTTGGGAGGGTGGGCAGGACCTACAGCCCCCGGGTGGGCACCTGGGCACTGGTTTATCGCCAGACGTTGGGGATGGTCGTGCGTGGTGGGACGGGGCCCGGGAAGGAGGCGTCTAGACGGCACAGAACACTCCTCTGTGCGCCGGAGCCGCTGTGGGAGGAAGCTAGTGGGAGCATCGCGGGCGGAGGGCCTTGCTGCCAGCCAGACGGGCGGGTCTCCCCGCGAGACCGCTGCCTGCAGCGAGCAGCCCAGGCCGCCCGAAGAGTGGCCTGGCCAGCCGCAGGGAGGGTTGCGAGGTCAAGGATCGGGGCCGGGGCCGGTGACAGGCAGCGCTCTCAGCCAATAGTACGCCGGAGCTTCTGGGGCGGGGCAGGGATACAGGATTGATGGAGCGGTCTCAGGCCGAGGCCAAGGTGGGCGCAGGAACACCCGAGCACGTGGAGAACTGCCGGCACGCAGCGGGGCACTGTTTGCTGGGCCGTTGCCACCTCTGAGTGGAGGCTGGACTGATGTCACCGCGCGGACTCGGGGGACCTCCGGGGTTTCTCAGCGCAGTTGAGAAGGGGCCGAAGGCCAGGAGGGAAGCTGTCTGCTTTCTGGGACATCCTGCCCCCAGCCAAGCCTTAGGGCTCCTGCCTGTCACAGCCAAGGCTGTGGAGCGGCCCACGGGAAGGCTTCCCCTCTGGGTCTAGACAGGAGCAAAGCGTGAGGCTTCAGCCCTGGCCCTGAGCGGAGGGGCGCCGGAGAGGGAAGAACGCGGCCCGCCCGGGGCCTGACCTCCCTGCCCGGGGCCTGACCTCCCTGCCGCTTCACCTCGGATGCGGACGCCACGTCAGGGCCGCTAGGGGATGCCCAGCAGTTGCTTGTGAATTGTTACGGTTCAAAACTACAATTTTACGCGTGGGTAGCCCGGACCATGCTTTACCCTTGTTAACTTCGGGGAGTTTTTCTCTGGGAATATAGTAAGTAAGGAGCAAATCCTATTTTTCTCCATTCTAAGAGAGTGAGGTCCTCCTCTCGGCATCGCATTCTTCTCCCGAGGAAAGCGATGGCACCCCCTATGGGAAGAATTAGGATGTGCAGCACAGGACGGAGTGGCTGAGACCTGCCTTCTGGTCCAGCGGAGGAGTGACCTTGAGCAAGTCACCCAACCTCTTTGAGCCTTGGTGTTCTTGTCTGTGAAATGGGCTCCAGTCGGTTGTTACATCTCAAGCTGCTGTGCAGACCAAAGAAGGCACAATTTAAAGCGAACTTGGCAGGGTGTTTAGCGCCTCCGGAAGCACCCACTGGAGGCCACTTATCCCTTCATGAGGTTGTTTTAAGAGACTGTAAGGACCCTGTCTCAAGCAGCACCCCCCCCCCCCAAAAAAAGAGAGGGGAATGGGAGTGGGTAGGGGAAAAAAAAACAGCATGCCTTAGAAGCTGGGGAGAGGCCTTAGTCAGCGAACCCTGGGGGGTCTGAGCCCAGCGCCCATGGACACCAGGTATGCACGGCCCTGTAAGCCCCGCTGGGGAGCAGAAGCAGGAAGATCCAAGCTGTCCAGCCGGTCCAGACAATAAGCAATCTCCAGGTACCTGAACGACACTTGTCTCAAAAAATGAGGTTGAGAGCGATTGAGGAAGACATGATACCAATGTTTAACCTACACACAGGCACGCGCGCGCGCGCGCGCACACACACACACACACACACACACACACGACTGTGCAGGCCGAGTCCAGCCTCTTGTAGAATAAGCAGAATCTTTGAGCCTCCGTGCACAACCTGGGTGGGACCCTATCAGGGATTACTGGCTAGTGAGCTAGCATGCTGTGGCACTGGCCAGGTTGGACTCTTTTGGGAAGCTCAAAATATCTGCTGCTCTGGGCATTCAGCCACTAGGTGGCACTACAGACCCAGTATTCCACACTGGTCCCTGCCTTGGTTCCCCGAACCCAGCCCATCCAGAACCCTCCCTGCTACTGCCTCGACCATTCTGGGAGCATCTTGACTCTCTCTCTCTCTCTCTCTCTCTCTCTCTCTCTCTCTCTCTCTCTCAAAGTAAAAATGGCTCCTTTATGTCTGGTTCCCTCTGCTATTTATTTACTTAAAAATATACACATGTTTTGCCTTTCAGGATGGGGTTTCTCTGTGCAGCCCTGGCTGGCCTCAAATTCACAGAGCTCCACCTCCCTCTGACTCTTTAGATTAAAGGCACACACCACCACACCTGACTCGCTTAAGATATTTTTACCAGCGCGTTTTCATTTTAAGCTGGGTGCCTTCATCCGAGGGACAGCTCCCAGACTGTACCCTGCCGTCTGTGCACCTGGCCGCTGTCAGGAACATGGTTTCCTGGCCTTGGAAGGCCTTTTCTGTTTGAAATGCATTAGCATATTTTCTGGAACTCCCAGGCAGGGCCACCCACCTGGTTCCTCTCCCTAGCCACCCTCCCGGCTCGAGATGGTGAGAGCCACCCTGGGGTCTGCTGTTCACACAACAGTGGTTTTCCCTTCCTGAATAAAGATCCTTTTTTTTTTCTCATGCGTATGCCTGTGGGGTGGGATGGCGTGAGTGTCGAGGGGGTGGCCGTGCGTGCTGGTGTACATTCGTGTCTGTGTACACTTTGAGAAGGCCAGAGACTGACGACCGGTGTCACTCGCCACCTTCTGTGTTCGGGCAGGGTCTCACTGATTCACAAGCTGGGTGTCCACTGTTTCTGCCTCCCGAGGGCTGGGAGAACGGGGTGTGCTGTTCCTGCCCCGCACGCATGTGGGTGCTGTGACTCCGAGCTCCAGGCCTCAGGAGGCTCGGTCGGTACTTCACCCACTAAGCCATCTCCCAGCCCTTGAAAAAAAAAATTATTTATTTACTATAGTTTAATTTATCAAAGGTGAAAAATTTGTCTTCAACCCTCAAACACTTTCTACTCTTACTAGTCCCCAGGGCTGCTCTCAGTCCCCGGCCCTCAGGTAGCTCTGCATGTGACTCCTCAGGACCGGCCTTCCTCCTCCTCTTCCCTTCCCACCCTCCCTTCTTCTCTTCCCTCTGGCCAGCTCTCTGTGAAGTCAAACGCCCCTTCTACCTTTGCTAGGAGAAGTATTTCTGAAATAAACCTGAAACCAACCAAACCCCCCCCCCCCCCCCACACACACACTGCTTGGCTGGTTTTGCTCATCGCCAGCCCTGGGACAACAGCCAGGCATTGCTCTCTGAGAGGACTCTCGGGGCTCCTGTTTCTTTCCAATCCGGGCCTCTGCTTCTTCATTACAAAAGCAACAGATTTCAATTCCATGATCTCCACGATCCTTCCAGCTCTGGTTTCTCCCACATCATACGTGACCCTGGAATTTTAAATGATTTCATAATGTTCCCTATGAACCCTTGATGGCTTTAGATCAGTCTGGTAAAAACAAAGTGAGGAGACAGGTGAAGGAAAGAGAAGATGAAGACAATTGAGGAGGCAGGAACAGAGGAGGAAAGAGAATCAGAGGAAAGACAGGCAGAGCCTCTGGCACTGCAGAGCTGGCATCTGTCAGGGCAATCTCAAGAGGGTCCCTGCCTATGGCTCAGCACCATAAGCCCTGAGAAATGGAGAGGCCCCTTCTTTAGCCCTTGGTGAACTATTTAGAAACACAGGCAGAGGGCTCTCCTGGGTCCTCCAGGGACTACACAGCCCTCATGGGTCTTCCCTCAGATAAGTGTTGAGGGTTAAGATCCAGGTGGGATATGATGGGCTGAGAGTCCAGCATCTGGAGAAGGAAGAACAAACTCACCTATCCGAAGAGGAGCAGAAGGCATTTGCTTTCATGATCACCGTTTTGTTCTCTATCTAAGCCCGTGGCTCAGAGCAGCAGGTCTGGGGCTGCAGAGGAAACCAAGGGCTGGCCCAAGTCCCTGTGGACTCCGCTGGGCTGGGCCAGAGGCAGGATGGCTGCTGGGCTGATTCCCTGTGGAGAAGGGAATTGAAAAAAGAGAGATATCTCCAAGGAGGGTGGAGAGGGAGGCTATGTGCCACACACACACACACACACACACACACACACACACACACACACACACCTTCCCTGTCTCAGCTTCACTCTCATTCACTGGAGAGGAGAGGAAAGCAGCAGTCTTCTCCTCTCTGCTCTCCCCGCCCATCTGTGCAGTCAGCAGCTCCAGGAAAGTTGGCCTCAAAGTTGAACAGAGCTGAAGTCTCCAGCTTCTGGGAGCTGTAGCAGTGGTGGCAGCGACGGCGGCAGGTTCCAGCTGTGGCTAGCCTCGAGACGCTTTTCTGAGTCTTCCAGAGCCCAGCCGGCCCTAGTCTCCTGCAAAATACACCCACCCTCATCCTGAAGGTTTGAAATCTGGGCTGGGAAATGGCGTGCTGAAGACCCTCGGGAGCATTCTGTCCCTTCCTGGACCTGAAGAAACCCAAAGCCCCAGCTAACATGGCCAACCCAGTGCAGCCTCAGTTTCAAGACCCGGGCTCCACCTCACCCCTGGACCTGCCAGAGATGGAGAAGCTTCTCACCAAAGTGGAGAACAAGGATGACAAAGCCCTGAGTCTGTCCAAGTCTCTGTCGGGGACTCTGGACCTGGAGCAGAATGGTCACAGCCTGCCCTTCAAGGTCATCTCTGAGGGCCACCGTCAGCCTTCCCTCCCTGGCTCTCCTTCCCGGGCCAGCTCTCGGCGAGCGTCCTCTGTCATCACCACCTCCTACGCCCAGGACCAAGAAGCCCCCAAAGATTACCTGGTCCTTGCCATTGCCTCTTGCTTCTGCCCTGTCTGGCCCCTCAACCTCATCCCCCTCATCTTTTCCATCATGGTAAGTCCTATGCTTTGTTCAGGGAAAGAATTTGGGCACCTCAGTGTGGCAGGCATTTCCCCGGGAAAGGGACTTAAAGTGCAGGGAAGAGTCGGGTGTCAGAGACTTGGCAGGGAAACCCTTTCTCATCTCCTGACTTCTCTTCTAGAGGGATTTAAAGCTCAGTTCTGTTTGCTCTTTCTTCATCTCTGCCTTCAGGCGTCACTGGTAATGTCTTGTGGCCCTTGCTGGAAGGATTCAGGGGTACGTCTGGAGTGAAATTCTGAAGGAGAGAGTGGCAGACAACTTGGGGGGGTCTTAACTGCTCTGTTTTATTTTTAGAGGTGTAGGGGGTCACTGTATGAGTGGAGTTCTGTGTCAACAGAGAATATGACCCGAAGAGGACCAAAGATTCTGAATGCCCCAAGGAGAGCCAGGCCTCCTGGGCCACCAGGGCGTTCTACCAGCCTCTGTTTCCAAGAACCACGGTGGCCTCCTTGCTGTGCTGCGAGCCCTGGGGCCTGACCTCCCTTGGGACACACGGGGAGGGAGAAGAAGGGAGTTGTCAGGCTGGGGTTAGGGCACAATGGATCTCCTGAATTTGCAGATTTCACTGTGTAGGTTTTGCTAGAGGTCTGGGCACAAGTCAGAGGGCATGGCTAGCCTGGCCAAAGAGGGGCCTGTGTGCTAGCCAGCCTGCACGTCTGCAAGACTCTGAATTGCTTGTCTTAGACTGGCCTCAAGCCAAGCCATTGGGTAGAGCTACTTACAGGATATCTTACAGAGAATGTGTGCTGACAACAGGATAGAAGGGAGAGTGTCAGAATGAGGTTAGGGGCAGGAGGAGAAAACAGGCCAGTTAGAACCAGAGACCTGGGTGGGGTGACACTCTCTGTCTCCTTGGGAGGGACACTGCTGCTGAGTCACTGATCATTAAGCCCCTAGGAGTTGTGGTTGCTCCTACAACCACAATTTCAAACATCTCTTCAAACATCTCTGTAGCCTCCACTAAGTTCCTGTGTGATCCAGAGTCACGTGACAGTCCATTGAGGGCAGGGGCAGCATCTCAAGTGTAAGAGCTTAAGACAGGGGGAGGTGGAGTCACAGGCAGGGCCCGTCTAAACTTCCTGAGCTGCCCCCTGCGTTTGGGGACCACGCCAGGCTTCAGGGTGGAGCTAATGGCTCTGAGCAGGCCAACTTCTTGGTTACAGAGAAAGGTCCTCGGAAGGGGGACAGCAGGGAAATCACATAAAGGCTCAAGAGAAAGCAGATTCTAGAATTCTCTCCCAGGAATTGGGGGCAGGATAAGTTGTCTTTGTCCAAAAAGAAGCTGGGTTGGAGATGGTGAGACCACTGGACCTATCTCTGGTATTTCTTTTTCTTTCTCTTCTTTTCTTTTCTTTTCTTTTCTCTTCTCTTTTTCCTTCCTTCCTTCCTTCCTTCCTTCCTTCCTTCCTTCCTTCTTTCCTTTCTTTCTTTCTTTCTTTCTTTCTTTCTTTCTTTCTTTCTTTCTTTCTTTCTTTCCTTCTTTCTTCTGTACTTGAGTAGGGTCGGACAGGAGAGAATAAGAGAGACAACTCTAAACCTAACAGTAGGACTGAGCCCTGGGGCTGCATTCCAGGCAGAGACGTTTCTAAACAGGTCCTTATGACATACTTAAAGAAGTGCCCAGGCTAGATACAGGCACAAAGGAATTAAGTCATCCTGGGCAAGCCACTCAGCCTCTTGTCAGTTACCCATCAGCAAAGCAGGCAGATGTGTGGTGTGATGCCTGCGTCAGAGAGGCTGAGTCGGGGCCTTCGAAAGTGCTAAAGAACAGAGCCCAGCCCAGCCTGTGTGCTGTGGTCATAGGGACTGTCCTAAGTCCTGCAGGGAGTCTCCCTTCCAGGAAGCCACTGTGGGCTTGCTTTATTTATTTATTTATTTATTTATTTGTTTGTTTGTTTGTTTGTTTGTTTGTTTGTTTTTTGAGGCACAGTCTTGCAATATAGCCCAGGCTGGCCTCAAACTCATGTCAGCTCTCCTACTTTATCTCCCCAAGTGCTGTGATAACAAGAGTGTGCCAATGCCTTTTGCTTTTTAATGGGGTTTTTAATAGCTTTATTAATGTAATTCCTATATCTTGTAACACATCCATTTGAGGTGCATGGCTTGATGGGTGTCCCCCCTGCCTCCTCTGTCTCATATGTGGCCCTGAATAGCCTAGAACTTGCTGTGTAGACCAGATTGGCCATGAACTTAGAGATGCTCTTGCCTCTGCCTCCCAGCTACAAAAGAAAAACTAGCCAGGCAGTGGTGTCACTTGCTTGTAATTCCAGCACTTGAGAGGCAGAGGCAGGTGGATCTCTGTGAGTCTGAGGCTAGCCTGGTCTACAGATTGAGTGAGTTCCTGGAAAACCCAACCCCTACACACTATAGATACAACTTAAGGAATAACACACATCCTGTTTTGAAAAACTAGAAAAGAAAAAAAATTGCTTATATTGATGCAATATGCCATGCATTGTTTCAATATATTATACAGTGTGTAATATGTAAATTAGGTTAGACATAGATACTGACTGGCCATTGATCATTTCCTTATTGTAGAAACTTTCAAATCATTTTCTTCTAGTTTTTTAAAAAAAGTATAATGCACTGGGCTGGGGAGAAAGCTGGAGGCAGAGAATGCTTTCCTTGTGAGATGAGAACCCAAGTTTGAATCTCACAATTCATATGAGAAGCACATTGCACATCTGTGATCTCGAGCTGGGGGAGGGGCACAGGTGGATTCCTGGGCTTGCAGCCGGTCTAGCCTCCTTGGTGAACTCCAAGCCAGGGAGAGACCTTGTCTCAAAAAGCAAGATGGCTGGGGATGTAATTCAGTGGCCAAGCACACACACACACACACACACACACACACACACACACACACACACACGGCAGATGGCACTTAAGGAATACGCACACACCTAACAACAAGTTTTCCCCTAGCTGGGATTATATGCACACACCCTGCCCCTATTTGTCTTGAGAAAAGGTGTGACTTGCCCATCCTTCTGTATCAGCCTCTAGAGTGCTGAAATTATTCAGCAACAGCCACCATACCTAGCCTTAGACTGAGTGTGACCAAGTAGACCTTCTGTGTCTGCCTTGTGGTTCCATGCAAGCTGTTGTAGATGACAGGATTCCATCCTCTGAGGGTGAATCATCATTTGGTGGCTTTTAGTGCTCTCAGTGAGTTCCAGCTTAACCCCAGCGAACTTTGGAAAATTCTCCTTATCTTCAAATAAAACCCTGTGTATTTTAGATGCTCCTTGTGTCCTTAATCCCTTCCAACCCTGGGTGACACCAGTTTCCTCTCTCCACAGAGTTACCTATTCTAGACACTTTAGAAGTGGAATTATATGTAGCCTGGGCAGTGGTGTATGCCTTTAATCCCAGCACTCAGGAGGCAGAGAAAGGCTGATCTCTGAGTTCAAGGCCAGCCTAGTCTATAGAGTGAGTTCCAGAACAGACCGGGCTACACAGAGAAACTGTCTTCAAAGAAAGAAAGAAAGAAGCTAGAGGTTTGAATCCTGGGCCACGCTTACTGGCAAAGGGCAGAGGTGGTTTCTGGGGCCTCCAAAATTTGGCTCCACTGACCTTATACTCATTTGATCCTTCACTGATGTATTCACTTGTCTTGAGTGGCCAGTTGCTTGTTTTGAGGAAACTGAATGGCACATAGAAACCGCCCCCCACCCCCAGCAGTGACTGAGCCTGTCTTAGGAAACAGGCTCAGCAGTAGGCAGAGAAGCAGATGACTAAAGTGCTGTTTGGCATTGCAGAAGGGGATGAGAATGTGCTGGAGGCTGTTGCAAGGCAGGGACTCACTCTTGGAACTTAGGCCTCTGATGAGCCCCTGGGGAGTTTTAAGCTGAGGCGCAATGTGGTCAGCTCATACCGTAAAATGACTCTCAATTGCATTGTGGGAAATGGGCTATAGGAGGGAGATTCCATGTACAGGAAGGGATGGCGATGTCTGACCTCTGAATGGACTGGAAGGAAAGAGCACAAAGAAAGGATTGTGTGTGTGAGTGTGTGTGTGTGTGTGTGTGTGTAGTACATGCTCAGGCTCCAACTCAGGAATACTGGAGCTATTCTCAAAGCTAGCTGTGGGACTGTTCACATTTATACAGTGAAGCTGAGTGTGGCCCGCATGCCTGTCATTGTAGCACATGGGATGCCAAGGCCAGAAGATTGCCATGAGTTCAAGGTCAGTCTTGGCTATACTAACTGGGGCTACAAAACAAAACCCTGTCTCAAAAACCCAAACCAACCAAACAAAGAACAACAAGAAGTGCTTACTGAGAGAAGTGGACAGAAAAGGGTTTTGAAATGGAGATTCCAGAAGGCGGGAGAAAGGCTACAAAGGGGGGGGGGGAGAGAGTGGCTGAGGGCATGGGAGAGCTTAGGCTCCAGGAGGGTGGGCTAGTCTGACAGGTTGGCTCCTCCTTGATTCTGGCTGTCTGGATGGAGAGATGTAGACAAAGGGAGTGTGTGGTCCTGAGGGAGAGCTGCTCAGAGGAGAGGGAGCTCCCAGGGAGTGGGGCTTCCGGGGAGTGGAAGGCAGTGTCTCCATTTGCTGAGAAAAAGGGGCCTCATGGCACAGGGTGCTGGAGGTGACCAGGGACAGAGAGATAATGGCTCTCTGAAGCTAGAGAGTATGGTGGCAAGCTGCCATCAGCTTCTGTGGTAGTGTGGCTTGCCCATCGGTAGCTGTAGGTTTGTAGTCCCTGGGCTCTGAGTGGCCGAGGCGCCATTAGACCAGGCCCAGGTGGCACAGCAGATGTGGGCAAGAGTGACTGAGGGGCTAGATGAGGAGGGAGTGATGGCCTTGGGTGAGAGGCAGAGGCCACAGGTTGGGACTCAGAGAAGGGCAGTTCCCACTAGCATAACGGGCAGAGGGCTCAGATTTCAGAGGAATGATGGCAAGAGTGGAATGAAGTCGTGGAAATGAATGTCCAAGGGAAGCATCAGGTCCAGGGATGAGGAAATTG